CCGATTCAGGCGGGTAGTATAGACCTAGCCTTAGTATTATCATGAGGAAATTATCAAAAAGAACTCCAGATACAGTGTTTTACTCCTTCTGAACTTCCAGTGCCTTTCACAGTCCCAAGGAATACAAACCTCCTTAATCTTTGTAATTAAAAGATCTTACCAGCAGTGTGGCCCAATATTCCAGTTGATAGTGCATCTTGGCCCGCAGAGTAGGGGTTAATCATGGATTCTATTACATTAATAACAGCTGTGTTTATGTATTTTAAAATCTGAGGGAGGAAAATATTCCCGTGCAAAAGGTTCTGTAATACATTTGTATTAGGTATGAGCCCAAGTAAGGAGGTTCAAATCTGAATTATAACCTACACAAAGTTCTGGGATGTTCGGACTATGGGTTCCATTCCGGGTCCATTTCTCATTTAGAGACCTTTAGTGGGGCACCCCAAACTTATCCAACAATCAAATAGTTTCATTATCTCTTAACTTGCTGTTCCCTTCTAGATAGAAATGCTCACTTGCTGAACTTGATAGAGTTCATTCTATGCTTGCTCCATTGCATTTGTAGAAATTGGCTTCCTACCTTATCATTATGGTCAATGATCCCCACAGATGTGGTAGAAAATTTACAAAATAAACTCCTCTCAAAATAGCAGTTGATTTATTAGAAACAAAAAAAATGCATCATTTTATTTTTATACAAAGAGTGGTTGCCTCACAGGGCAGTACGACTGTCACTCATCCTGTTTCTCCCCTCTCACCCCCCATTTTGAAGGATTCATAATTGCCTTCTCTAAAATCCACCCAAAACACATTACAGGAAGCTTTATCCTCTCAGGAAGCACATAAAATGTTTGTGTGTAATCAGGCTCTCAGTGGAAATTCAGGGTTTTTGTCTATCCAAAACTGCAGATTGGAATCTCTTGACTGGTTCTAGATCAGGATGTCTATGCATGTAATACTCCCAACACAGCAACCACTGGCAAATGAGCAAGGGAAAGGGGTGTCAGAGATAGTTACTATTTCTATTAATCTCTGATATTGGGGGTTGCGGGGGGGGAGTAAGCTTATATATTTCTGCAGTCCCAGAACCCAGTCCTGCTTTTACTGAAATGAGTGGGGGAAATCTTCTCAATTAAATGATAGCAGACTTAGGCTCTTACTCTTCTATTTGTTATGAAGTTACTAATGAATTTGCAGAGACAAACTTGATTATCTCTGATATCATTGCCTAGATATCTATAGTGAGCTATTTTTCTTGCAAGTTTCCTGGTTTGTTTTATAATATTTTGAATGTATGTAGCACCTCTCAGATCAGATGATCCCAAAGTGTTTTACAAATTACCATGAGTATATACAAAGAGGGATCACTCCATCCACCAGTGAAATGTAGACACCTCTGGGGTGAAATACAGAAGCACCCACTCAAAGTACATAACAGTTTAGAACAGGAAATGAGGAAGAATACTGTAATCAGCTGCCTGCAGGGAGAATTAAGGGAGACAGAATGTAATTACCTAGATTGGAATTCAGCTAGAATGCTAGGTTTGACAGGCCATACTTCTGATTTGCATTCTCTTTCATGTTTTAAGTAAGCTCATGAAATGTAAGATGCTAGCCCAGTTAAACAAGTCAAGGTATTCTTTATGTGATAGTATACATCTGGTGCTGGTTTAGTCATGTTATCTTTTGTCCCTCAAAACTCCAGCCTCACACCTTCACTTTTGGTTAGACTTGGATTTGAGGAGATTGTAGTCATCTACAGGGCCGGCTCCAGGGTTTTGACCGCCCCAAGTAGCCAAAAATAAAAAAGCCGCGATCGCGATCTGCGGCGGCAATTCGGTGTAAGGTCCTTCGCTCCGAGCGGGAGTGAGGGACAATCCGCCGAATTGCTGCCGAATAGCTGGACCTGCCGCCCCTCTCCGGAGTGGCCGCCCCATGCACCAGCTTGCCAAGCTGGTGCCTGGAGCCGGCCCTGGTCATCTACATCATCCAGCAATTTTCTCAGTTGCCCACTTACACTTCTTTGTGAAGTGTGAATATGCAGTCATAGTAAATCCAAAGGGTTCTAAAGCTTTTGGGTTTGTTTGTTTTTTATTACACAGGTCAGTCCAGAGCAGCCATGATACCTCCAAAGCAGCCCCGGCAGCCAAAGGGAGCTTTGGATGATGCCATTGCCTTTGGAGGAATAGCAGACCAAGAGGCAACTAACAGCTTACAGCCAACACCACCTCCACTGCCAAAGAAAACCATTTTGAGAGCCAACACGGAGCCGATCCCCAAAGAACTCCAGAAGCAGACCCTGGAGAATAATCTCTGTGTTGTGGCCAACCCTACATACGACATTGACACCAACTGGGAAGCAAGCAGTGCCTGCTCTTCAGTCAGCTCAGAACTCAAGGCACTGGACAATGAGTCAGGAGATTCCTTGGACAGGCCTTTAGAAAAAGGAAAAGCAACCAACTCAACAGCCAACAGCATTTCCAGCCTAACCACTGCCAGTATTAAGGATAGGTGTTCCAACAGCATGGAGTCTCTGTCTGGGAGATACATCTCTCAGTCTAAGCAGAGCAAGAATATACAGAAGCCACAGAGGCAAGCACTTTATCGAGGAATTGAGAACCGAGAGGAGGTGGTAGGCAAAATCAGAAGCCTTCATACTGATTCACTGAAGAAGTTGGTGAACAAATGTGAAGATCTTTTCATGGCTGGACAGAAAGACCAACTGCGATTTGGGGTGGACAGCTGGTCAGACTTCAGGCTAACCAGTGACAGGCCATGCTGTGAAGCAGGTGATGCAGTTTACTACCCAGCTTCTTATGCAAAAGATCCCCTCAACAATTATGCAGTCAAGGTAAGAAGGAGGTTTCAAAAACGGTTGTCCCAGACATCAGTAATATTAATAATAAAACCCTGCGTATTACAGTATAGCTAATTATGCTGTTTGCAATGGCTAATCCATGTAGAGTAATGATCTGCAGCTACTGGCCCTTCTTTCTTTAAAGTGCCACTTTTGTCAATGGCATAATTAACCTTTAGCTGGATCCCCTGTTCGTTATACATCTCGGGCAATTTTTTAAAAGCCACCAACTGTCTTACTAGCTGTTTAGCATACCTATTATGTATTGACATAAGAATGGTATAAACAGCTGTGTTTTTAATGTAAAGACTGCAGGCAGGCTCTTGGAAGCCTTCAGTAGTAGAACCTTTAAGTTCATTTGCATGCAGGGTCACCAAATTCTCATTTTTAATTAGGAGTAATTTCAAAGGTTTATATATATGGCTGTCTGTGAATTTTATTTATATACATTCTTAATTAGCATACCTTTCCATTCCCTTACAAACCCTTACATTCTCACCAGCCATTCTGAAGCCCCATCTTGCCATCGGTGTGGCCTTCTGTGATATATTAAAAATTATTGGAACTGAGGAATGTTGATTGGCTAGTGCTGTATTTCAGTGAAGAAAGAGTTAGCTTTTTTCGTTGAATACTCTATTCCATAGTCCTGGTCAGAAAAACATCCAGGTACTTATTTCATATGCAAATGAACAGTTATCTTACCTAATAAAGGGGTTGTGTTGTTTTTATCATGTTTGTGATTCATATAGGAGATTTACTCACCCTCCCTTTGGGTGCCCACACCTCCACTGCTAATGAGATGATAATGCTCATCTGATAAGATGTGCTCTAATATGAGGATGACTGAAGCCAGGAAACCTATGTTCTATTCATTGCTCTGCCATAGACTTCCTATGTGACCTTGAGCAACTGAATGTCTGTAACTCAATTTCCCCAAGTTTAAAATGAAAATTATGATTTTTCTTACCTCACATGGGTATTGTGAGCCTAAATTCATTAATGCTTATAAAACAAGTTGAGCTTCTCAGAGTGATGGTACAGAAGGGCAAAATATAATTATTATTCCCAACCACCTTTATTTATTAAAACAGAATGAGAAGCAAGAAAGTAAGAATGTCAATGCTAACTTGATATAAAATAGGTTCTGAATTTGAAAAGGCATCTCTTTAGGAGGTTTTTCAAGGTTACGTATTGCATTGAAGTGTTGCCACATTCTATTGGGTTTATATTTGTTCAGCCATCCAGGTCCTCTATTGTTGCAAAGATCACAGATGTAATATGGATGCCATTATAAGATGATGAAGTGAACTGTCTGCTGACTCAAAACAATTGAGAACCAGGACATGAATAACTTTATGATGTATTATTTGTCTGGCAATCTTGTCTGGTTGCAAAATCAATGGTCTTCCATTGATTTTTTTTTTTTTTTTGCTTGTAATGGTGCAGAAATAGTCTGCCAAGAAGAGGTGGCAGGTGGTTTGCTATTTCATGCACTACGACTGGCCAGCAGATCTAGAGAGAGGGAAGTGTTACATTAAACACTGAATAAAAATGTTTCATTGATGAAAGTTACTTAAAGCCTTTCCAAACATGCAGTAGAGCTTTTGAGTTTGTTTTTTAAATATATTTTGAAAGGAGAGAGTGTAGCCAAATGTGTGCTCTTTTTTTTCTTCTTTGTTACCCAAAACATTATTATCTTGAAAATCAGTTCACAAACTAACAGGAATTTACCATAACCTAGTAGGTCTGAAGGACTCTAGAGTGAAGGATCCATAAAATGCCATTGAACCATGAGTCACTATGGATTGTCGTGCTGTCATGGTGAGAGGAAAAGTTAGGCTTGCAAACAACTTCTCTGGCAAAGAATGTGATGTAGGAAGATACTTTGACTACAAATGCTCACTGATTTCTTTGTAAGCAAAGCAGTGCTAGTTCAAGGGAATTGCTGTTGTCTTTCCATTTTCTCCCCTTCATATCTTCAAATATTATGCTTTCAACCAAGACTGGCTCACTTTATTTGTGTTTCCTTGATAGATTTTTTTTTTTATTGCAATGCTGTTCTCTAAAATATAGTCAAGGGTTTTACTATAAACTCACCTTTAAAGGGGTCTATAACTCTACCATAACATTTGGCTCCAGATTTTTCAAAAACATATAATGTAAAAAAACAAACAAACAAAATCCATTGAACTGTTGTAAATTAAGAGTATTGGCAAAAATAGCAGGATTTTACTCTCCTACAGCTTTTTTTATACTAACTAAATTTTGTAATCATCCATCTATAATGTGAATGCGCTATGCTTCTGGCATTTTAAACCATGAAAAAATATAGATATTGAGATCAAATCCTACAATGAACCCATAATACAGACTGTCTATTATTGTTAGACAACTTATAGTAGCAGAAGAATCATACAAGATCTATCTTGAAGGTGTCTTAAGAATTATACACATGGGGCCGTATCTTCAGCTCGCGTAAATATGTGTAGGTCCATTAACTTCAATAGAGCTATGCCAAACTGCATCACCTAAGAATCTGGTCCAGGGCTTGACAAACTCTTACTAGGTTCTATGAATTTATATTAGAACTGAACGAGTTTCTAACAATGGAATATTTTTTCTCCTTTTGTAACTACTTTATAGAAAACAAAAGATAACAAACTGTACAAAACTATACTTAATGTTAAGTGTTGTTATCCATAAGGGATATAGTTTCTAATTATATTAAAAAGCAAAAACTATGTTCCAGTAGTATTAAGAATTAGACTTTGACCAATTGAGTACTGCTGAATTGAGTCTTCAGAAACATCCCAGTAGAATGCACCTTCTGTGTAGATGAGTATACCCAGAACATCCTTTGTTTTATTAATTTTAATTGAAAATGGCAGTTCAATAGGTGTGGTGGAAAACCAGCCTGTCCCCAACTCATTTGTTTTGCCTAGATATTGCAGGAATAAAACTGTTTGTAAGGGTGTGTAATTTTAGTCATGGCATGTGTCAGGACATGCTTGCCTGTTGAATAAATGAGCGTGCAGTTTTTAGCCATGGCATTTGTGATATAAATTTCCATTATTCTCATCTCCCACTAACAAGTGTCCTTTGCAAAAAGGTACAGCAAACTATGTGCAAGTTGCTTTAACTGAAACAATGCAAACCAAAACAATGGCTCCAGTCAGCTCAGAATTGCATTCAAACAAGCAAAAACAAGGCTCTCTTTACAAAGCCTTTATAAAATTCCTGGCTCTTAGGTATTTCCTCTTCACAAACAAGAACTAATCCATGTTCTAAATAATTGGTAGAGCTGGGTCAGTGTGTCTGTGTGTTTCTCCATAGCAGTGGAACAGGATTCTTATCAGCAGTTCCACACTTGTAGTGAAAAGGTCACAGTGAAATGCAAGTGAGCAGTGAGGACTAGCTTTTTGTAAAGTGTATTGGACAGGTGCAGCTTGTCTCATCCCAGCATTGGGTGTTATCCTTGAACATACTGAATAAAGCAGCAGTATAGCAAGGACCTAAGTAAAAGAGCATTAGCAGAAATAAGTGATTATTGAGAATCTTATCAGGTTTGGACTGTGAACATGGGTAATTACTGTTTCAGTGATGCAGTGGAGCAACTGGAGTGGAAACTACTTCCACTTTTAAAATTCAATATCAAACATTATCAAGACTGAAACAGCACCAAAAATTATTGAACAGTATTATGCGTACCTGAGATCATAGTTCAGAAGCCATCTTGAACAGTCAGGCAGCAGGAACCATTAAGGAGGTCCTGGCCTGAAGTGTGTGTTTGATATTTTGGCTGCAGGCAGGTGCTGTGTTGTAGCTAATGTGGAGGGGCACGGGGTCTATAATGGGGTAAACAGGATGGGAGTATATGTAAATGCAAGTACCCTAATTTATGGCTTTATTATATCTTGAGTCCTTGCTTCAGGATGGTGGGAGCTTCCCTTGCAAGCTGTATGACCTTAGAATTCTTGCTAACATGCATTCCCCAAGCCTAAAACATAACAAAACATAAGTAAAATGCTGGCTGGCTGCCTTCCACTGAAAAACATGTATATTCCTATCTTTGTCTAGTTTGTTAGGGCATGAGAATATTTTTTTGGTAACTCGGACTCTAAATTGAATGACCTTCCTGGCAAAAGTCTTACAGCAGATCATCCCAATACCTTGTAGCTTGGATCAAGCCAGTTTTATACATTAAACACTTAATCCATTCTAAGTGCAGTCACAGTAGCATTGAGTTTTTATGTCTTGGCATACCAGCAAAAGAGCAGAGCATTACTCCCAAAGCCAGATCAGTGAAACGAGGTCAGTGATCAAACTGGACTCTTAGAAAGCAGGTTGTGCCAAGTACAAGATATCAATATGGGATTAGCAAGCTTTCATTTGGCACTGTATTTAATTTGCAGTTGTGCTTTTGTGTAATACAACAAAGTAGCACAGATGGTGCAGTGTTTGTGATCCTCAGTGTTTCTCATTTTCATCACTCTACAATTCATTCCCCACATATCCATCTTGTTTAAGGTTCACCGAGGCCTTGTAAAATGCATAGGCATAGTAGAAATGAGATTCCCTGCTGCTAAAGTGGAAGTCCGCTGACAGTATCCTAGGCTGACGGGACCCATAATGGAAAAATAAAAGCTAATCCAGAGCATTTTTTAGAGTCTTATAACATCAAATTCTTGCTTCCTTGAAGGAAAAGGATAGACAGTGGAAATGGAGAGATCGAGGAACCTAGCTTTGTTGAACTAATGTACAGTTATGGATTTCAAGGACCCCAACTGTAGAGGCTATATATTGACATGGGCACCAGTGGAAAGGAAGGTGGACACATATAATTAGAGCTTAATATTCATATCTCCCTTATTTGTCTTTCCTCTCCTCATAATTTTCTATCACAACGTACCAAGGTTGGGGGGAGGGGATAGCTCAGTGGTTTGAGCATTGGCCTGCTAAACCCAGGGTTGTGAGTTCAATCCTTGAGGGGGCCA